GCGGGCACAGGTGACAGGTCTACCACTCTGGTGACTCATCGCGCTTCCTCTTAGAAGGAGGAGGACGAATTTGTGGCGTCGGAGAAGGGGTCGTGAGGCACGGGAAACGAACAGAACCGCTCTCGACTTGCTCGCTGAAATTGCCACTTCTGCACTGAGTTGCGACCTGCCGCGGGAGCCTTGAACTGGATGGCACGAGTTCCCACTGGCGGTTCCAACGTCTCCAGCGGGCCATTCCTTGAAGCGACCTGGGGAGGGACTGTGGTTGACGGTTCTGGCGGCTCTATGTGAGTCGACCACCAGAGTCTAGGACGACTGACGAGTCCGAAAGACGAAAGATCTCGTTCCGAGCAAGTCGTCGAGGGTCGCCTGGGTTTCCCTTGCCATGACAACGTTCTCGAGGATTAGCACGAACTTGAGACTGCAAGCCTTCTGGAAGGGCCTCCACCATTGGTGTATCCATTGCGCGAGCTTCTGTCCCTCAGATCCTGCGGCGCCCTTGTCGCCCTTGATCTGCGAAAAATCAGGGCAAGGCGGCGCACAGGCAACCAGAACGAACGTAGACTCTGCGCACTGTTCCTTGAGAGCCTTTGCTGCCTTCACGGGGTCTGCGGACAAAGCGTCGCCCTGCTGGATGACGTCGGGATGTCGAGAGCGGACGACCTTGTGGAATCCTCGTCTAGCTCCCACGACCATGAAATGACCGGTCGGATCTGCAAACCATCAAGGACTGGTGGGTGCTCCCGATGCCGTCAAAGAAGGAGAGCAGTGCGACCTTGCCTGACTTAATTGTGACCTACCTGAGACCCTAGGGGGGCGGGGACTAAACCGAACCTAGGGGACAACCGGGCGCGGGGGCTGTTGGAGTTGGAGCTTTCTCGGCCCCTTGCGAAAAGCACTCGCGGGTAGACGGGCTAAACATAGCGGGGTGCGGGGGAAAAACAAAATTGATGCCGGATTGCGCAGGCGCAGGTGTCGCCCGATCCCGGCTGTCCGACGCCCCGAGCTTGCTGACTCTGTGTCTGCTGCGCTGATGCGGACGGTTGCATGGCTGAACTTGCACGATGACCCGAACTTGCAGAAGCCGTTGGAGCCGGGGTGCGAAACTTGCCCTTGCCGAAGCCGTCCTTGGATTTTCCTTTGCCATCGTTGTCCTTGCCTTTGCCCTTACCGTCGGGCGGCATCCAGCTCTCAAGCGCATCGTGGCGCTCGGTGCTCGTGATGATCTTGGTCACGCCCCCCTGGAACGAACCATCCGCGCGGGTGGCCAGATCCCAGGAGGTCTTGCACATACCTCGCGGATCTGTGGTATCTTGCTCTGACTGTCGCGAACAAGGTTGATGAAGAAGTCCACGAATGGGCCGATGACGAACTCCTCTCCCCACCGTGCGAACACCATCGCCCAGCGAACTGCCTCGAAGGCATCGATCATAGTCAATGACTTCTGTGGCTCCGGCACTCGCTTGTCTTTGCGAACAAGCGAACCTGAAGCGTCGAGGCTGAGGATCTCCGAGAAGTTGGCGTCGGACTTGGCCCACGGGTTGGCCTGGCGACTTCGGGTGAAGTTTCTCGGGGAAATGATCTCGCCCAACTTCACCGGACTGAAGAGCCGCGAGGTCTCGTTCTCGCAGACCATCCTCGCGAGAGTCTCTTCCGCGCCCAGGTGGACAGGGAAGCTTCGGTTGGGACCTTCGATACTTCGATCTGCGCGGACTCGTACTCCTTGATGCGCTTGGCCCAGTAATCCTTACTTGGGGAGTTGTTTGGTGGCTTTCTGAGAGTCGACTGCCGCAGGGGTGAGCGGCGTGGCCTGAGTCTGCGAACCAGGAGGCACGGTAGCTGTGGACATGTGCGCGTCGACCATGTGCTCCAAGACCGCGGCCGCCACGTCGAGGACCACATCGTCAAGCTTGATCTGGACGTCCCCGATCTTCGCTCCGAGCTTCAGTGGTTCCAGGGTCTTCACGATCTTGGTGCGGTCGGCGAACATGTGACACAACAATTCCGGAGCTCGTGATCCCTTTGTCGCGGAGGAAAACAATGACCTGCTTGTCGAGACCCGAGGACACGGACAGGTCCTCAAGCTTCGGGAGAGCGCCAGCCAGTGAAGCCGTCAGTCGCTGCCTGACTCGCCGGACTCTTCGCTAGAAGGAGCTGCTAGCTGCTGTGCTTCAGGAGAGCACTTAGTGCACTTGGCGAAACCTGGCAAAACGGAAGGGTGCCGTAGATGGTTACACGAACCGTAGCGCCAACGGCCGCACACCGATACCCAATCAAAGCTTTGCAAAGCCTGTTCATTCTCGCAGGGCTTGTGGGCGAACTTGGTTCGCATGTTGTGGACGAAAACTGCCCGGCTCTGCCAACACTCCGCGACCACTCTGCGATATACAGAGTCCATCTCCGCGCTATTCACAATTTGGCCCGCACCATTGTGCGAACTGGACGAAGGGTCTGAGTGCGGGGCCGCGGTTAAGGCTGAGCGAACCTGAAGCGCAGCTCTGTCTGGAACGAAAATGGCATCTTGCACATAGCACATCACAGCCATCGATCCCCATCTTCCTATCACCTGAATGACCGCGAGGGAGATTCCTGCGCGAGCGAACAGCTGTGTACCAGCGACACGAAAACAATGCTGCGACCACTTATCCAACGCAGAAGCACTCCACTCGGATAGGGTCTCACGTTGCAACACAACAGCGCACACCCGCGCCAGCTGAGTCAACTGTCTCTGGGTCACAGCGACCTGACCTTCTCCGAACAGCGGGTGCGACGGGTCGTACGACCCCTGCTTCCGCCTGCGAACTACGAGTTCCAGCAAAGCGTGGAAAACGCACAGTGGATGTCTGCCCGAGCTGCAATTGCACTTCTGCAGAGCCGTAAACATCGTGGCCAAGTCGCCAGAATGCGGACAACCCTGATCATGCTCCAGCGAACAAACGCACACATGGCGTCTCTCACAGCCCTTCCCCTCTAGGTCGGTCTTGCTGACAGGAAGGCGAACGGTGACTGACCTCTCGGCTCGGTTGAAGCGAAGGTCCGCTCCGGTGACCCCCGCGACCTCAATCCCTCGAAGGAGGAACCAGACTGCAGTGACTGCCGTCGCGAACGGTTCCCGAACACGAAGCGGAACTGGCACTTCGAGGTCTCTATATGCTTCAGCGACCAAAGAGAGGAAGTCCTTCTGCACGATGGGGCGGCTGAGCGATAACGCCCAGCTTTCATGAGTGAGCCTATCGCGAAAATCAGCTCGACAGTGACCGGCAGCGGGGCCATCTGTCGCCTTATTTCGGCCATAATTGTCCACGTAGCCCAGCGACTCTCACGGGGCGCTTGTGACGATCTAGCGAAACGGTCCTGGAGAAATTCGCGATCAGCCTTCTGCAGGTCGATGATTATGTGATCGTTGTCCGGTCCTGGCGCCAGACCTATCCGCTGCAGCGAACCTCGAGCATAGATGTCACGGCGGACCTGAGCACGAACTGGCTGAAACTGAAAAAGGCGGTCCATCGCCACGTCTCCGATCAACTCGCGGACGCGCGGCCTGGATGCATTCTCCAGGTCCTTTGCAGACTTGATCCCATTAGAACTCAGCTTGCGAACAAACGAGGCATTGCCCGTCGATTGAAGAACTGCGACCAGACTCGCGAAAGAACCACGGTCGACGTCACACGGAACGTGCAACACGGCTAAAATCTAAGCTTGCGACCTTGCACGGGCAGTACTGCCCTAACTGCGGACGCTCCAAAGCGAAAACAATTCGCACCGAACTGCTGTCATTCCTTCGGCACTTTTTAACTGAAGCCTGCCGAACGCGTCGTCAAATTATGCACAAAACCGAACCGGCAACGGACCAAAATTTCCTTCCACGAATGCGGGGATCTTCCTTGCCGACTGAACAAGCAACTGTGCACTGCGGACATGTAACCAGACTCTAGCGAAATATGTCAGGTGCTGCGCAAACGAACTGCAGTACTGCACTCGAGGACACTCTTTTTGCGAGCACGACGCGGCTCTGCGAACACGAAGGGGGAAGAGAGAAAGGCTGTACAGCCGACGGGGCGAACGTAGGCCACGACCATCTAGTTACCCNNCCCCCCCCCCCCCCCCTGTCCGAAAACCCGAAAAAACAACCCCCCAAAAGCGAACCCTCAATCCATGGTCGCGACCTACGTGGCAGTCGTGTCGCGGTAGTCCGGAGGAGCATCTGCGAACTCGTGTCCTCCTTCATCTGCCTGCGGCCATTGGGAGTACCTTAGTGGCGGCGCGAACTGTGGTGGGTCGCGCGGCCCAGGTGGCCCAGGCTCTGGGCCGTTGTCGGCCGGTGCCTCGCCGGCGGGGTTCTGCGAACCAGTGGCTGCTGACCCCGACGACGTTGCGGCTCCCTCTGGCTGCTGTTGTGTCGTGGCGACCTAGAGTTGGCACCGAACGGTGGGCAGGGGCCTGCGGCAGACACTTCACCGGCGTCGTTTTCTTCGCTGGGGCTGTTGTGGTAGCACCTGGGCCTGGAGCTTGCGAACCTGTGGTCCCTTACTTAGTCTACCGGAAGAGGCTTCACCGGCACCGGCTTGGCGGACATGGCCTTGGCAGCGGCGGCTGTTGTCGATGCCGTGTCTTTCGCGAACTGGGGCCCAGTGTTCTGCGCGACCACTTTGCTGGCCTTCTTGGAGACTGCACCCACGGGAAGACCAGGGGGCTTTGCGACCGTGGCATCTCACCCAGGAGTTCGAGGTGCGGCCATAGTGGTAGAGGGCCTTGTGGACGTCCGCCTCGGCTGCCTGGGTCCTCGAAGAAGCGACCAGTGCTGCGGTTGCTGCGGCCCTGATCTTCTGCAGGTCAGAGTCTTGCAAGCGAACCATGTAACACTCGATCCGCTCCATCTCTGCCTCGGCCACGGTAACCAAAACGGACCAAAGGTCATCTCCGCTCGAGGAGCCCTGGCCTGCTTATCTGCTTGCTTGCCTATCTGCCCGTCTGCCCGCCTGCCCGTCTGCCCGTCTGTCTATCTGCCTGTCTGCCTGTCTATTTGTCTGTGCTTGCTTGCCTATTTGCCTGCTTGCCTGCTTGCCTGCTTGCCTGCTTGCCTGCTTGCCTGCTTGCCTGCCTGCCCTTCGACGTTCCAAGACATGGCGGCGAACCGAAGCTAAGCAAAAAAGCTCTTGAACACTCCGGCCTCGGAGCTCGGCTGCCCAAGGTGCTTCTTCGAACTTCCGAACTGCAGAAAACTGACTTAAAGTCGAACAGAAAACTGTACTCTCAAGACCTGCGTAATGCTTGTCACTCTTTGCACACGTGCAAAACTAGACAATCTTGACCAAAAAACAAGAATGCATAGAGTTGCTTCTTGAGAAAAGATTCATGTGATGTATTGCTTGGGCATTATCGGCAGGTAGATTCATATCGGCGCATTGATTCATAGCTGGCTGAAGCAGTAGAATCCCGCGTTCGCGGTGTTTGGAATGTCACTAGCAGGCGTGGTCCTAGGTAGTACTAGGTAGTACGACGGCAGGACAGGAAGCTGCGACACTGGAGCATTAATAGCTGCCAGGAAACATCGATCTATGCGAGGCGTGTGAACGACAGTCAATTCGCCTGTGCGTGTTTGTTCTCCGGAGCTGCACGATGTATGTTTGTCTTCAAGCATGCCTCATGCGTATGGATTTTCTGCTTCGGGCCCTGAGGAATTCCACACTCTGAGATTCACTCATATTAACTCGCCAAAATATAAGCAACGACTCCGAGCTGAGTTCTCGAGCTTCGTGCCGTGCCAGTCCGAAAAAAGGAGGAATGTCACACACGGCCTTCGCACCGGACAGCCAGGTAGCTTGGATGCCTCTCCTTGAAGGCGATCGGGGATGAAGCGGGGTTTAGAGTGGACACTTCTCACACGTTGGCCCTTTGGTCGCGTTGACTCTCACCGAGTGGTCCGAGCAGCTCGCAGGTGGCGACCACTTCGCCCTGCTGGCCAAAATCCACGGCAAGGATCGGGTCACCATCACAAGCACCGAACTGGAGCCAGACCCTTCCCTCCTGGCGCAAAGTACATGTTCCTGGAAGAGTTTTGATCATCTTCGCCCGGCCTCTGACAGGATCTGAACGACGACGGAATCTGTCACGACGTAGTGCTCTCCTGTTCCAGGGAGCTGTTGCGAATCTAAGTCAAGTGCTTTCTCTTTGCTCCTTCCAGTGTGCAACCGAAAGAAGTCACCGTGCGCCACCTGTGGGGGGCTGGGCAGAATAGTCGGCAAGCGGATCCTCCAAGGGTTCACCGGCTCCACTCAGATGCGTGCGGAGTGTCCAGGGCGAAGGGCTGCATCGTGCCGCTCAGGGAGACTTTCCGGAATAGTTCCGTGGCGGCCATGATGGACCATACCCAAACCTGGGAAGACATCGCCATGTTAATTGAGAAAGGCCGAGAAGTAAGAATCTTCGAACAGTTATTCAGCATGAAGTGCCATACAAGGATTCCCACTCTCCAAAAGCTTGCAAATTGGTAGACACTTCGCGAACACGGCAAACGGCGGTTCACTTGGCCTGCAGTTAAGGGGCCATGATCCAAAACAGTGACACCAAGCCCTGAGTGCAGAATGCATCTTCGTGTCTGTCTGAGTACAGAGGAACGCGGTGGACAATCCGATCTGTGGCCGAATGGACTGTACCAGCTGAAGAGCCATTGCAACTTTGAAGAGATAGTCCGCAGAAGGCACGAAAGTTCGCATCCGTTCCTGCAGCAGGACCGAGCGACAATAGGCTAGCTCTGGGCATTCCTCCTTGCCCAATGTGCAACATCTTTAGGAACTGAGATGAATAGTCAAGCACTGTCCGAGATGTTCTCGAACTGAAAGAGGAAGCTGTTCACGCCTGTGACTGGTTCTCCTGGAGTCACAACTGGCATGGGAAGAATCATGCCGGAAAGCAACTGCCCAGCACATAGTTTCTCAAGCCACAGCTGACAACACTTTGAAAATCAGTGGTGTACAGGACGAGTTGGTGGCTGGGGCTTCATTTCTTGTCGAACGCTTCTCGCACACTTCGCGGAGATGCACTAATTATGCGAGGACAGCTGTACTGCAATCGACACAAAGCCACAGACCAGTAACAATGTCACACTGCAGCGTGCCTCCGTAGGATGCAAGCCTGAGCATGTCATGCACCTGCGCAAGGCCGATGACGGGACAGACAAGGATGCTGTTCACGCTTCCACTCGAACGTAATGCTGCTACTACAGACTGCAGGTACTACTGCGGCCGCTGCTGCTACTTGTACTCCTGATCCAATAACAGTTCGGTGCCTTTCCTGTTGTTGTTTCTTTCGGTGCTACTTCATCGCTATGGGTTTCACATATAGCAATTGCTATCCGGGTTCCTTACTTCCTGGATTCTGCTAGACCGGTTCACCTTAGCAGGTCTCAGCTCTCGGCGGTCCAGCGCACGGCTTGTGCGTGCAGGGTCTCCGCAGCCAGGTCTGCAGCTTGGAGCAGCTCCGGCAGCATAAATGCTTCCGTCGCCTAGACAGGCAGGCCAACTTTATGCTCATATAAAGATATGTCACAACCCAAACACACAGACATGCACATCTACCACTAATGAAAACGCAAGGCAGCTTGAGCAGTCAGTCTCGGTTGGAATCTCGTGTGCAACTGAGACTCATCCTTGCAGTTCTCCCTTAGCATCGATGAACCGCTCAGCACATGGATGGAGAACCAAACTGCCAAGACTCGGGTAGTCAATGCTGTGAATATCCACCCAGTGAGGCACAGCACCCTGCACAAAATCAGCTCAAAAGTCTGCGCAGACATTAGATGCCACTGCACTTAGACTTAGAGCGTTCCTCGTTGTCCAGCCCCGTCATTGGCAGGTAGATCCAAAACCCCTTGACCATCAGAGACGTGCGCAACACACCAGCAGCACCTCGAATTCGGTCGGGTTTTCAGATTTCCACGAGCGACGTTGTACTCTGAGGCCCAGACGCGCGGCCTCTCTCAGCCAGTCTCTAGCCTGTACGAAACATTACGCATGATCTGACTGATCTGATCAGAGCAGTGCTGACATCTCCATGGCCTGGAACACAGCTGCACGGGAAGAGGAGGACTGAGGCAGATCGCCGATACAACCTGCAGCGATTCTTGTCAGAAAGCATCTCTATGCAAACCACCGCTTCTTGCAAGACAAGAGGCTTAAGACATCGATCAGGGGCTGTGCCAAGGCCATGGCATGCTGCGAATCCTGGGAGCGATTGGGAGCTGCACAGATGTCCGAAGGGCGGGACGTAGCAGGTCCTTGAAATTGACAGATGACTCCGTGGAAGTATCCTCGTCTTCATGCACCTCGAGCCAGCTGTGTTTCCAGCAGCGGTGCCAAAAGCAGAAAGGAGCCTTCCGTGCGATGTCCACGGGGATTTCGATGGGACCCCGTTGCTTGTGGACAACGTTCAGGTAGCGGGTGCTCGTGAAAAAGTGAGGCCACTCCTCAACGCAGCAAACAAGGCGATGTGCTGTGCCCGGGGAGACTCTCGTCAAGTCACCCCACCACACGTGAAGGCCCGGATGCCCAAGAAGCAAATCCAGGAGGCCTCTCATGGATCTTGGAACGTCTTGGAATGTTCTGGAATCGGTGCGACCCGGTTGCACAGGGCCTGGATGGTCACCAACACTGGGTAGCCGAAATGCTGCATCACACTGGCGTGTAGCGTCGGCTTGTTCGAGGCCACCCTGAGCTCACCGATTATTCAGAAGAGGCAGACGTCATCCTGCTCTGCAACCCCAGCGCGGCGGGGCCCAGAGGGCGCTCAGGCCAAGGCCACAGCGTCGGACCAACGAGAATTAGCAGCGCAGCAACGAAAAGGTCGAGCTTGCTACCTCACTCCCCACCGTCACGACCCTATCACGACCCCATCGCCCATGTGAGCACTGGGCCTGCAATCTCGATGGTCAGGTTCCACCAAGCCAATGTCGACATAAACAGAAAGCTGCACCAAGCCTGGCTCCGGCAACCCATGCGGCAACTGCGCGAAGGTGGGTCTCCCCCAGCCTCCGTGGGCATGCTGCTGCTTCCGTCGACGTCAAACTTGTTGTAGTACCTCCAAAGAGGGTTATCTTAAGTTATCTTCTTTTGGTCCTGGTCTACCAATCATCCTGCAGCCGAGGCGCAAGGAGAAATATGCTAGGCCACTGAACAGACAGGAAGACCCAAGGACCTGACCAACTAGGAGTTCAGCCGCCATGGGGACAAAAGACAATACCTTAAAACAGCTAAGCGTCCGTAGTAACCCGGCTATACAGATCCTTGGTTGTGGTGAGAATCAATTGCACCATCTCGGCGCCATCATGCGCCATCGAAAAAAATCCAAGACAGGACATGCGTTCCTTTCATCGGAGCACGTGCACCAAGATGCAGCAGGCGTTTTGCTCGATGCCACATGCCACCACATATTCTGAAGGACATGCGGCCACGATGCAAAAGGCTGCCAGGCGGATGCCACTAAGCAAAGTAGCTTTAGATGCCTTGGCAAGAGGGAGGCAGTTTGAAGCCCTGCTTGACCTCGGAGAGGCAGAGGACTGAAGCCGTCCACTCCAAGTTGCGGCTCCATCTCGGAGAAGGCTCCCTGAGCGTGAGAAGGCAGACAGTGCAGTAGCTCCTGCAGGGTAAAAGATGGCGAAAGCACGAGAAGTCGGTTTCGATTCGGAAGCTGCAGCACTCCACCACTGCCCCCTCATGCCCAATCCTGCATCGAAACTTCCATGTTGAGGGGTCTCGTCGTCTGCAGCAACGGGCTGCCTTCGGCGAATTTACACAGACGCGTACAGCAGAACTAGGAAACCAGGGCCTTTGGAATCTGTCGGAGATTGAGCCGCCGCCGGGCTGGCCGCACGGGTGTCGTTTGACAGCCTGCAAGGTCAGAAAGCTGCCAAGTTCTGACAAGCATTTGTTAGCAGCAACTTAGCAAATCAACGCGCGCTAAAGCGATCACAACTTATTACTAACACTCGTGTCAACCATGACCTCAGCTCTCAGCAGTCCTACCATGGATAAAGTGTTCAAGGCTACGTCTCTGCCTGGAGTCTTCCCGGTTCATCTCTTCGGCCAACCTTGGTGCAGGTGCCATGCCTGGCTTCGAGAGTGCAGAAAATCTCCTGTGCAATTCAAGCGGCTGCGGCAACTGACGGCCGACATCCTTCATTTGATCCCGCAGAGTGTCCTGAAGCGCCGCAGCACGAATCTTCTCGGTACCACAGTTTTCGTTTCAACCGTTGCCTTGTTGAGCGCCGCAGGACGAACGAACGGCAGTCGGAGCGCCTTTGTGGCCGGTGAATTCACGTTGACATCCAGAAGCTGCGACAAAGCAAGCTCTTCACGACGTGCACAGGTACATTGCTTCATAAAGGTACAAAACTGACAGCGAACGATGACGACTCGAGACTTCTAGAGGCCTCGCGAAAGTTCAGCTCGAAATCTTTTCCCTCGGTGGATGCCTGCCAATGCTGTCTCCAAAGAAGCACAGGCTGCCGAACAGGACGACAAACAGTCAATGATGACCACTTTCTTAGCCATCCTCCCCAAAAGCCCAAACCTGTGCGTGCTAGCAAAATACCTTTTCTTGTCAACCCAAGCAGTTGTTCCTGCTTGCTGCTCCTCGTAAGAAATTTGCGAATCATTGCATTATACAGAAGCGCAGTGAGCGCAGTGGCCTGCAACGATCAATATAGCAATACTGGTGGCATAAGCAGAATTACTGAGTACTGCTAGGACCATCGGAAGTCAGCACAGCGATCTACATGACACATGTTATTCACGCTTGATGTTATTAAAATACACTGCAGTCGCAGTTGCGAGTGAAACCCAGAAGTTTTGGTTTCGATATCGCGAAATCTGAAAGTCAGCACAAAATCATCATGAAGTACTTTGGCTACAAACCCCAGAGTGACAAAGGTGACTGACCCGGCACTGGTGCTGGCTTTCCGGCAAAGGTCAAGCATACGAGCTGCGCCCAAAAGTCCAGGTTTGTGACACTCAAGTTTGGCATCTATACAAGGATTGTCAAGCAAATGATCTATTACAGTACATTCGTACATCCATACAAAGGTGAACGGTGTCTGTAACCCACATTCATGACAGAACCACATCAGGCGAAAGAAGGCTCACACAAAGCTGGTGGAATCTCAGAGATTCTCAGAGCCTCTATGCCAACTGCGCGGACGCGCGCGCGTTTCGCCAAGAAACTACACATCTTCGTGCCAAAACTTTGGGGCATGCTTGAGCCCATGGGGCTAATAGTAGTCCTCTGTGGCCTTGTAACATGATCATGTATGATACTTGCCCTGAGCTCATTCAAAATTATGGCCATGATACTCTGCCTTTTCATTTTGACATGGTCTACAAACTGCAGTATCAGATGTCATACAGTCCCAACCGATCTAGACCGCTCACAAAGTTCGCTGACAAGCCATACAGTCGCAGCCCTCCGGCATCCTGCAACCCGAACATGGAGTCGGCCACAGACCATCGATCGAAATCACATCAGGGATCGCCGATCGGAAAAGATCGCAAAGCATCCATCAGACAGCAACCAGCCCGATCACCGAGCTGGGAAGATGGATCCATCGGCGGAGAAGCCCCGCGGGCATGTATTTTGTTCATGCAGAAATGCTCATCGAGCCAATGATTCAGCGGGTGCTACGCACCTAGACCCTGTCCCCGTGGTCCTGCACTGTGAGGCAAACTGGCCCAGCCACCACTTGAGTCCAAGTTTCTTCGCAGCCTTGGCCCTATGACAAAAGGTCTAAGTGAGCAAGCACACGCGCCCATGCATCATGAAGGAGGTTATGATAGTTATGAGGCAGTTAGATCCTGCCTCTTGAAGTTCAGGGAAATCTTGTTTGTTTCAACAACAGAAAAACGCCGGCCAGCAAGAATGGAGCACAAAATCACGCTGCGGATGTCTCACGGGAGGTTTGTTGCACTGCAAGAGCAATGGTAAAAGTGGCTCCTATCGGGCAACTCATCTGGCTAAGCATTCCAACCCAAGTCCATACATCATAAGTCATTACTGCTTCTTAAAGGAACATTCCTGTGCTCTTGCCTTCCTGACACCTCACCTGGCTGCTCATTTACGCCACGTGTCGGCACTTGTCCGTCTAACACCAAAGTGATCTTGTCCTGCTGGTCCTTGCCGCTATCCTCTTATTGCTGTCCTGTCGCTGTCGTCCTGCAGTCCTGATCCGAAATGTTCCCATACGTGCCGATTTTCTGTCAGGTCTGTCTTTAGAGCTTCACTTAACGACACATGAGGGCACTGTTGCAGAAGTCTCTTAGCCCTGGCCAACCTTGGCTATCTCGTTCTCAGATGGCATGGGAATGCGCACGACCTGCACCAGCAGCCTGGGCACGGAACAACACGGAACTGCGGAGCGCAGTTTGATGGTGTCTGTACGAGTTCACCACCAAGAGGCTTGGTTGTGATAGCTTGAGCCAGCTGCAGCGCGTGCATGGCGAACCATATCCTGGGCACCACACTGGCCGCACGGCTTACTGGACTGCAGGTTGTAGTACTCTAATCACTGTGAAGAGCGTTGGAATCAGACATGGCAGTTGGGCAGCGAGGAGCTGAGGAGCACTCCACACCGAATGCAACCCCATGTCTGCATCCAGGCATCGAGGTCATCAGGAAAAAAAATGATGTCAAGAGGGTCATTCCCCTCAGTGAAGGACATTGAAGGACAAAGCTTGCCGCACAAGGTATGACAAAAACACGTCGGATTGCCCCCTTCGTAACTTTCCAAGGTGCAGAAGCACAGCGAGCTGATCCTCCTGATAGGTCCGTTCTTGGAATCCGCTGTCGGTGCGGTCGAAATTGAAATACAGTGCTACCTGGATATGGCTTGTGGTCGAGGTAATGCCATGTAGACGACATGAGGAAAAACTGTCTATCACCATGTTGTCGTACTGCTACTGCTGACGAGGCGATGATGAGAATGGAAGTTCACCAAGCAAGAGATCTCCGACCCTTTGTCTTTGCCCACACAGAGCAATTTTGATCCCCGAACAAAACCCGACAGGACCAGTGAGTTCATTTAGTTTCCCAACGAAAAGCTGTCACGCGCATGCCAAGCTCGGGGTAACAGCACAGCAAACACCTGGACGATATCGCAGGAGATTTCCCAGAGGTGCGATTATAGGCTGAGCAGTTGACCACGACAGCAATGCAGCCAGATTGGCGACAGACATGCACATATCCCTTCACAGCCAACAAAGACAAAGTTCAACGCTTCCAAAGTTGGCCAGGCGACAATAAAACCAACCTGCCGTCGATGCAAGAGCAACTGAGGCAAGCTCAAAACCAATGTGACTTGTCCAATGCCCCAAGTTCGAACAGCCTTGAGGGTGTTGACGATCAGCAGGTTCGCCACCTGCCACAGAAGGAAATCAGGTTTTCGCCATCTTGCTCTCAAAAACCTGGACCTTGTCAGTCGTCAAAGCTGCAAGGTCGCGGATGTCTTCTCGGAATAGGGCAAAACCTTGAACTCGAAAGTCGCTTGAATCTGCCGGTGATGCTTGACTATTCTGGACACCTAAACATTCCGTTGCATACGATGCGCTGCGGCAACAGAAGCAGCCGCAACGGCTCAGCAGCAGTCAGAAGAGGAAGTAGCACGGCAGACGCTCAAAAAAGGCATCTGTCTCTCAAACATGAGCTGGGAGCTGATGTTCCTGGACACGAAGAACTACAGTCAATCGAGACCTCCGAAATTCGCCAGGCTGCGTGCAAGATTCACGTTCTGCACTTGGAACTCACGCGCTTGTCGTAAAGGGACATCAAACATGTAGTTCCTTAGAAACGATCAAACCTAGAGTGATGTTGGCAGCACAGCACATGGCCTGCTCCAGTGTCATCTCCACTGAACTGTCTGAGGGTGCAGGGGTCCTGACAAAACCTCTGCCCACAAGTTGGTCCAAGTCGCTCTCGGTTGTATTGCCATATTGTCTGGCCCACACCACCAAGTGCCGCAGCACTTAGCAGCCCGGAGATTGGCATGGCTGCAAAGATGTTGCTGCTGGCTGCCACAAAGACTTGCTAGTTTGTAGGGCTAGCCAGGGTTTGAGTCTGCATGGAGACCTCATCTTGCAGGATCAAACCGCGAGATACAGAGTTGCAAAAGCATTCTGATGCTCTGTGGTGTGCTGTGACGATGCGAGTCAGCGACTGCTTTCTAGGTCAATTTCCGTTCCCGGTTTCCCACTTCAGTAGATACTCAGCGGCTGCGATACCATCTGGACGGAGTTATGAATCGCTTCTCGTCGAACCCTCTACAGTCGTGTCCTGTAACAAGGGTGGACATGCTGGTGGCCAAGAGCCGCACCGAGCTGCTTCAGGGCACCGTAACCCGAGTGTGGTTTGGTCTCCTCTGCAAGGCGGCAACTTGCTCACCACATTCACAGGCACCGGGCTGTCCTGGTATGCGCGGTAGCAATGGTTCCAGAAGCCCCAGGCCAATCGCGCATCGCCGGAGGTCTCACGAAAATTGCGAATTACTGTTGTGGGGATGGGGAAAGGCAGCAGTGGAGATTGGAATGCGGCAGGCCGCACGTCTGGAAGGGAAGTAGCTCAGTTCGTGAAATTTGTGGATGCTCACATTGTGTATCTACTGAGAACAACGTCGTGTGAGGGGCCCATCGGATTGGATGAAGCGAAAGAGGCGGTTCATTTCATCTGCAAAGGAGCTCCGTTCGAGGAGGGAGGTTCGAAGACGATCGGAGGCTTGAAGCCATGTGGGATGCAACTCGGCAGGTGAACCGTTGACCCTTATGAACATGCAGAACCGAAAAAAGAGTTAACTTACGACATATAGTCTGGAATTGGTGAGAATAGCCCATCATCTGAACCCACTCTTGCGCAAAGACGCTTGTAGCCGTGAGGCAGCGCAGGACTCCAAGTGTCTTGAAGCTGAGACCTCGTCGAACCATCGTGGCTCGCAGATCTCCTGGCAGATGGGACTTCTGTGTTCCCTGAGTGGCGACTGAGACCGAGGACATCTCAGACCTCGTATGCCAAACCAACTGCCTCCAGGCCATCCCAGACACCTTAGGAAGACACTTTACATTTCAGTCCTCAGTTGTCTGGCATGGCAATTTGGCATGCTGGGCCGCGGGCCTTTCTTTCCGCCACGGAAAGTACCTAGCCCGGAGTCCACGCCCATCCCGGCCTCGAAACGTTCGCCGTTGCTAGTTGCTCATTCTCGCACATGCTCACCCTCAGTGCCATGCGCCGCTGCCAATTAGCAGCGCATCTGCATTGGCGATCCACTCCGCGGCCTGCAGCACAGCGATAAAGGCTGCGTCTTGACGAGTCGAGCTTTCTATTTCTAGGGCCTGTCAGGCGAGTCACGTCTATAGCACAGGACGACAACGAAGCGGTAGGCAAGAGAATCAACGCATAAATCAAGATTTGCAAAGCTTGTGCCCTCTTGCAGAAAGTGTCGCTACCAGTTGTGGTCTGAGTCATCGCTGCGCATCAACAAGCACAATCACACAATACACAGAGAACTGCTCCGTGTTGCTCATGACCCAACTGATCCAACGACAAGCGCGACAATTTCGCACGATCTCGCGGATGCTTAGACAGAGCTGAGGTACGCTTGGCCGCTGGGGTGGTGATTTCAGAAAGTACTTCTGGACTGGCTGTTCGAGCCTGGGCCAAGGAGTGAACAATCTCATCCTTGCTCATGGACGCGTTTGCCTCATGAGATGTGCAGAAGACAACGAGACAAGAGCCACGACCCATACCCGACGAACTGTAGATCCGACTGGTTGCTTGAAGCTCTACTTAGACTCTTCAAGAAGATGTCAGACGTCAGTCGCAACTTGCAAGCCAAAGGGCCAGAAGTCGCTCATCGGGCATCGAGCAGTTCTTGGGCCGCAGAACGCCACCGCTCATGACGAACCTGCCGTTGAGACTCCCAACGAAGCCTGTTCATGTTTGGGGCCCACTTAGATCCAGACACTTCCAGCTGCTGGCGAGTCCAATACTTCACCTCCAATGGAAGCTGGAGGCCTTGCCGAGGCACGACAGAGAGATATCTTTCCATGCTCTGCAAGGCTGCTGTCTCTGAAAAGATGTCGTGTTCCTTCGCAGTGAACGACAAACTCCAGACTCGACTCAGCAGACATCAGTAGACTCATGACATGTTCTCCAGCATCTCGCTTCGGCTCGTTTCATAGACTACTTCGTACAGAGCAAGCAATCTGCGACAGTGTCATCCCAGTTTTGACTGCGGCTTGGCATTGAAGCCGCAGGATTTACCACCGGATCGCCCGGGGCACTGGCTATCCGAGCTCGACTCCCTGATCGTGCTCGAGCTTCCGAAGCTGGCTTCCCATCACGGAACGACAGAGGCAGAGGAACATCCGGACTGCGTGTTGGTGGCAACTTTGGACGCCCAACATGCGCACGCATTGACTCCAGCTCACGACTTTGAGCTGCTGCTTGCTGCTTTAAGGCCTGAAGCTCTCTGTGCAGACCGTGCTGACCTTCCACCAGTTCGAGCACATGTCGTTCCAGCTCCTGCAGGTCAGAGTTGTCCCGATGTCCAGCTTCCCTTCGGGTGGGGCTCTTCAGAAACTGAAACTTGCTCTCCAAAGCTGGGAGTACCGGAGCGAACACCGGAGCCTGAGCGATCCGAGGAGTCGAGTGAGTCAGAAGTGGAACAGGATCGGGTAGCGAAGATGGACGGGCACAGGCGCCCAGCGTCCCGTCTGTAGCAGCCGTGGCAAGGCTAAGAGCGCTAGGAGCCAGCTCGAGGGGCTTCGGAGCTTTGAAGAACTGGACCGAGGGGTACTGCAGAGAAGGGCAAGGGCTCACACTGCGTGGGGTCGGCCTCTGCGCTGGCTGCGCTGGCAGGGAGGCCGAACGCTTCGCACTTGCAGTTACAGGCTCAAGGATCATCAGAGGCACAGCTAGCTCTGGCCAGGGCCATCACCCTTTCCTGGCGCTCCGCTAGCGAACTGCAGCTCGGGCTCTCGAGCAGAAACACGAGCAATGCAGATCGAAGGATCGCAGAAAGAACAAGTGCACCGCCATCGAGCAAGTCGAAGTGCACACAGGTCACTGCAACTGTTTTTTGCACGGGACGATCAGTGCACAGTATGTTCTGGTCTCTACAGCCTGGCAGCTGACGTGTATCCCATGCTTCAGCGAAGCTCACCGCGTACGGCAAGCGTCAGGGAACCTGCTCCCTTCAGCCCGCCTTCTTCTACAAGACACCGTGCAGGCTGAAAACTAATTCTTCACGCCTCCTGCGAGTCATCGCCAATGCCCGTCCCACGAGTCAAACAAAGCCGCACATGAAAGAATGACAATCCTTACGTAATGTACTATGTACGCAGATACGCCCGTTCTTGTACCTGGTCTTTGCGAGAGAGAGACACCTGAGAAAGAGAACTCAGCGTGGCTGGCGCAGGCCAGCAAAACCGGCACACAACAAAGTCATCACTATCTCTTTCGCTATGACAGCAGGTTAGCAAGCCACCTCCTGTTGTGTCCTGTGTTCCGGATCAAGAAACTGTCGATCGCCGGAGGGGCTTGCCCATGACCAGAACTAACTGGGCCAGGATGCAAGATGCTCTAAGCTGTGACGGTGCTCCGCACTTGGATGGGTAGTGCGGGGTCTGCAGAGTCTGCACACACCATACTGTCTTTGTAAAAAACTCTCTCGCGATAAAATCGCGCATCGACGTCAAGAAGAAACAAACGCATTTGTCATGGCTCTGCTCTAGTGTGACAAATGTTTGTCAATTCGTGGGTCACAAGCAATGCACGTGCAGACAGACTACAGTCACTGGGTGCTGAGCACCGTGGAAGATTTGGCGGCCGCACAGCAAAGCAAGGTATCTATCATTGGTTGCTCACACTTACCCC